AGTCCAGGTAGGATTGCCTGCATAATTAGGGTCTAGACAAGAGTGTAGAGAACAAGTCCTATGAGGAGCTGCTGAGAGAGCTGAGGTTGTTCAGCCTGGAGAAAAGGAAGCTCAGGGGAGGCTTTATTGCTCTTTATAACTACAAAAAAGGGGCTTGTAGCGAGGTGATGTTCAGCCTCTTCTCTCAAGTAACAAGTGATAGGACCTTAAGACGGAATGGACTCAAGTTGTACCAGGGGACTTTAGGTATTAGGAATATTGCATATCAGGAAAAACTTCCTCACTAGAAAGGTTCTCAAGTATTAGAACAGGCTGCCCTGGAAAGTGAAGGAACTACTAAACCTGGAGGTACTTAAAAGTTGTGTAGATGTGGCACTTACAGACAAGGTGTAGAGGTGGACTTAGCGGTACTGTGTTTAATGGTTGGACTTGATGATCTTAAGGTCTTTTCCAACCTAATTGGTTCTGTGATCCTGTGATTAAGGACCAGAAAAGCTCATTGACTGTAGCATTCCCAAGCAGTATAATGAAATCAGTACAGTGGTTACTTTTGAAGGACTAAGAAATGAGAATATTATGCATGCAAATGAGCATAGTTTTGCTATCAGGTTCTGTCAAACAAGTGTGGTTTGATTTGCTGAGCAGGATAAGCTTGTTTGTTTAAAATAACAGAGTTAGGTATTTGTAAAGTGTTACTTCTCAGGTGGAACTTACTTCATCTTACAAGAGGGAAAAGTGGATATTTCATTTTCAGTATCTGAAGTCAGACTTGTCTTCCAAGCTCTTTTCTGGCGTCACTTTTTAACTTGCATCTTTCCTCCTCTGTGGATGCAGAAACTGAAATTATCATGTTAATGTGAGCAAATACCTGAATTGAGGTTTTACAGAAGACAGAGCTGGACTCTTTTCAATGATGTCCAATGAGAGGACCAGAAGCAGTGAGCACGAATTAAAGCAGTCATATTCCCTTTTTTAATGTGAGGGTGACTAAGCACTGGCTCAGAGCTGGTTGTGGAACCTCCGTCCTTGGAGATATTTAAATGTCATCTGGACATGGTCCTGGCCTACTGTGTCCAGGCTGACTTTGTAGAAGCCTAGCAGATAAGTGGGGTAATGTTTGTGTCTCAAACACCTATAGCCAGATAGCTGTGGAGCCACCCAAGGATTATTTGTAATTATAATACCAAGAAAGATCAGGCTATGGCTAGAGAAGGGGGCCCTACAGAGGGAGGGCAGCACTTTTCTGGGATAAATGTCCTTGTTCTAGCTCCTGGAGATAAGCAGTACAGGGTAGGAAGAAGGTTGAGAAGTGGGCATGGACTGTAGAGGGATTGGGACTGCTGAAGACTACTGAAGCCCTCTGACCCATTTTCAGAAAGATCTAGAAGAATGGATCGTGCATGCTAACTAATTTGCATAGAAAACAAGAAACTTATCTATAGAATGGTACCTCCACAAAGCTCAGGTGCCAGTGTGCCTAAGGTCTTTGGACAGATCATCTGGCTTTTGAGCTGGATCAACACTGGAGCAGGACTGGTGATCTCCTTTTCTTTCTTGTTTTTTTTCTCTTCCCCCACTCTTTATTTCATCTCTTTCTTTTACCTTGCACCCTACCTTTATCCAAAACCCACTGCCATGTTCTTGTAGTAGGCTATCAGGTACTAACTTACAGAGATTTCCATACAAAGTGTGTGGAATTTACTAATAAAACTTCATACATTTTTACAGGCCCACTGACTTCTGCAATTCTTTTTGACCATGAGCCATTTATGAATCTTAGGTACTGCCTTCCCCTTAAGGGTGGGATGCCACAGACCTGTCTGATCAGGTCCCTTCCAACCTCAGGCCAGTCTGTGGTGTTATACAAAGATGCAAGTCTGAAGACTTAACATCAGGCTGTAATTTTATGCCAAGTACCTGTTGTTCTGTGGATTATAAAACGTTAAGCAATTCAAATTTGTATAAACAAATGTCTTAATGTGCAACATGCAGTTTTATTTCTTTTTCTAAGTTCACTTTAAATGATAACAGGCTGTATATGATAGATTGTTGTACTTTAATGCCTCTGAAATCCCAAGTGGTTACCAGCAGTCAGTGTGCTCAGCAGGGTGACAGATGGGCAAGTTCTTTGAATATAAGAGAGAGAGAACATAGAAGAGGGTGTTTCAGAGGACAGGCTGAAGAGAAAACAGATAATGGAACTCAGCTGAGAAAGAGGCCAGGCATCCAAGCCAAAACCATAGCTTGCTGGCTTAACAGGGTAGAAATGGAGTTTTGGGTCAGAGAAATCTTGGAAGCTGTTTATGGGGACCTGAAAAATAGTACTAAGAAGGTCATGTATGTGCATCTTGAGTTAGAATTTGTTTCCTCTTTTGGAAACATTTTATTAGATCGATTGAAAATATAAATTCTTTTTTCAATACCTTTGCTTTTGGTTGCAAAACCTGAGCTGTACAGAAGCAGATGCTTTTCATATATTTTCCAGTGTAATCTACTTCAATTGAAGAAGTTGAAAGAGGCTGTTACTGTATTTAGAATGTAGGCATAAGGCAATTCTTCCTCTCTAAGTACTGTAAGAGCATGATAGAAACTTGCAACAGGTCCCAGTGCATTTTCTTCACTCTCTGCCATTGGAAATACCAGTATTATGTCAGTGGAATGCAAAATGATTTCCAGAAAATAAGTGATCAGTGTCACCATCCCCTGACTTGTATTTTTGAAGCAGTAATCCCAGGTAGTGTTCTAAACTGCATCAGTGGCTGATACAGCACAAAACATCTGGTTTTGTCTACATGGAAAATAATAAGAGCTATGAAGCATGGTTGGTCAAGAGAAGGCTGATGGAATTGAAATATTTTGATCTAAAAGCCAAAATGGAGACCTAGGTTCTAAATCACATAGAATTTGGTAAAGAAGTTGAAGGAAAAACTTCCTTGAGTAGTCCTCAAACAGGTCAAAACAGTCTTCATTTGCACCATGGGAAATATAGTCTTTAGATATTAGACAGAAAAATCTTTTTAATGCTGAAGTTGGTGAAACACTTGAACAGATTATTTTGGAATCTTGCGGAATGCCAGTTAAAAGGGTTAAAAAAAGTATTTATTTAAGAATGTAGAAACAGTTTTCTCTAACATGTGCAGGCAGAGAGCAATTTGCAACGTATGTTTTTCCTCTGATGCTAAGACATGCATGCAATATATAATCCCCTTTGAATTTTGGAAATGTTGCCCGGATTGCTGTTCAAATGTTGCTTACACTTTTAAAACTGTGTCAAGGTCAATTTGCATAATAATATCTCAAATTGTCTGATATTGTCTAACTTTTTATTCAGCTTCTACTCTCATTTTAAAAAGTGCATGTCTGCTTTTCTGATCCTATCAGAACTCTTTCCTCCTCAACAGGGTAACAAAGCTCTTATCACACCTTCCAGATAGTCTTGGTTTTTGATTAAACCTGCAGTTATAGTTCTTTCACACACTTGTTTGTAAGTAATTGCTAAAAATTCATGCTGATGTTGCTATGTGTCTTTAGAAGAAGCAAAGCTCTCGTGCCTGCTCATGTTTGACCATTTTAAGTGAATATGCATAGCCAAGTTTTCCCTTGTTAATATCATCCTACAGTGATTTAGTAGAAAAATCTGAATCTTAGACAACTGTATTGTGTAATCTCTGTATTATGTGAAACAATTTCAGATCCTTTATTGTTCATATTGTTTTCCTTTTTGGGGAAGGGTTTTGTAGACTTTTGTACAGAATGGTTTGTGACTTTGGTGGTCCCCCACTTTCTCCATATTAATGGCATTGTAAAGGAGTTGCAGTAAGATAACTGTACCCTAAACATCCCAATTTCACAATTGCCATTTTTAGACAATAAAGACTATCCCACAGCATCTGTGTATGAATATAAAAGTAATATATAAAACATCCTGATTTAGAGTGGTCCTTTACTAAACATGAGAAGTGAGGGAGGAAATACTTTTTTAAAGCTAGTAGTAGGTTACTTTAGGTCATATGTTATTTCTAGTTGCATTGTAATAATATGTTACCACTGTACAGTTGTCCCCATAGAACCTTTTGGAAACTCTCAACTGTGTATTTTTTGTATATTGGTATTTTGCTGCAGAGCTATGCATGCAGATACAAAAACAAACAAAAAGGGCATCATTTAGTGTGAACTTTAACTTATAGGTACTGTGTCATCTTCCAGTAAATAGAATTGTCTTTGTATCTGGTACCTTCTGTATTTTTGTACTTTGAGGATTATGCTGCACTTGAATTTTCTTTTTCTTTGTAAAATGACTAGAAAAGTGAAACCTAAGTTTGTGAAATGTTTTTTCTTTAATTGAAAGATAAGAGTTCTCTGTAAATGTCTAAGTATTGAAGAGGCTATGACTCATATTACTTTACAGAAAATTTTGAGTCACTGATATAAAAGAGGGTTGTCAAATGCATTATAATCATATGATCTTATAACTTGGAATCCCTTTCATTTAGCTACAGATGCTTGTATATTTAACTGTTATTGCCAAGGGATTAATAAGACTATTTGGAGTCCTGAACCTGTTCTTCTTGAAAAGGGTTTGTGTGTGTGCCAGTACAAAGTAGGATAATAGCATGTTTTCATAATGTCAAATTAATTTAAGTGAATTCATGCTTTTTCTGTGATACCATATATTTAAAAATCAGTGATTAATGCATAGTAAGTTATAATACCAAGACCAATTCTTAGTTAAGTCAGTTAAGATACACTACTTTAACTTCTCTATTTTCAACAATAGTCATATTTAGCTTGTTGAGTCAATCATGAGGTTACAGAATAAAAAAGAACTTCCTGAAGTGAGTATAATGTTTCGAGATTTGAATTTGATTTGATTTATTTTTAATTGAATTCTCTCATGTGTTAAATGAAGAAGACAGTTTGGAAGGCTAGCTATTACATACTTCAAACTTCTTTTGTAGGTTTGTAGGTGGAGAGCTGAATATCTGTTACAACGCTGTAGATCGTCATGTTGAGAATGGACGAGGAGACCAAATTGCCATTATTTATGACAGTCCTGTAACAAATACCAAAGACAAAATAACATATAAGGAACTTTTGGAAAAGGTATGTTTCAGAATAACCTTGTTAATGAGAAGGGGCAATAAATATTGCACAGTAGGTAGATACCAGAGAGGTAGAAATTATCTACCTCACTAGTTTACTTTTTGAACTTGTTTGCATTTGATTTAATTTTCTTTTCCCCTAACAGATCTTAATTAAAAGGTTAAGCGTAGCATTAGTTAAGTCTCTTGACAGTTGCTGTGATGAGAAAAAGTACAGTTCCATAGAAATGAAATGTGTACTTTGGCTGTTGCTACACATAACTGAGTGTAAGCCTAAAATTAAATTTATGGGGGAACTTCAAAGAAAGCTGTTACCTGCCCCTATGTAGGCTGTCATGAGGGTGCTGGTGGCCCTTCTGTCTGGAAGGTCTGGATTTTGACTTCCCTGTTGGCTGAGGTAGCTTACTCCTGATAAGATTGCGAATATCCAGTTCTGCCTCAGCCCATTCAGATGTACTCCATGCCTCACCATGGGTTGTTGCCACCATGGGTGTTTGCTCCTTGAAGATTCTTGGCTCTCAGGGCTGTCGGGAGGTTTGCCCTTATGCTGCTACTGTTGTTTAGCTGCCTTTTTTTTTTTCCAGTTACATGTAGCAGTTGAACTTAACACCGTGTACAAAGAAATGTTGGAGTTGGACTGGTATTCTTCCTTAATGTATTTCAATGTGCAAGATGGATTTCTTTGAATGTAACACTCTCTGTACTTAAGATATGCATGTAATGTCTGGAGTGATGTGAATCTGTGGATTAAAATGTGAAATGAGGTCATAATTAAGTAATTCTGTTTCAAGGGGCTTATTCCACTGTTGCAAGAAAAGTCATACAGCTGCAAAGAAATTATAAACCTCTTATGCATTCTACCTTTTAAGGAAAATATAGAAAACACGTACTCCTTAACAGTTTAGTTTTTTTATTTATTTACCAAGTCCAAGAAACATCATGCCATATTGTATGCTGGAGCTGGAACAGCTAGCTTTGATGTTTTAAGGAGTCAGAAGACTTTGAAAAGATCCTTTGTACTAATATATAATAATACAATTTTGTGTATATATACAATTTTAGTTGTTGTTTGCCTTCAGTAATTATGATATATACACAATATATATGCAAATAGATGTGTATATAAAATCAATCTATACATATGTTGCATATAACACTTGATTAACTTTAATACAGAAATGCAGAAATACAACATTTTGATGTGAATTATTGTAAGTGAACTTGCTTGGTAGAAATTTCGTCTGAAAAGAACTTGAAAAGTAGCCTTTTTTCAGCTTTTTAAGCTTGATATTATATTAAGTCTCCTAAGTTTATGTCTCTGTAAGTGTATTAATTTTCTTAAGACATGGCAAATTTGTGAAAAGTGAGAAAATTTTGCTAGTTGACATACACGTCCTTTCATCTACATTTCTTCTTACAGAGCATTGCCAAACCAAGTGGAAGAACTGGTTTAAGTTTTCTGGGGTATGTAGCAGTACTCACTCAGAAGTTCATGATAATCTTGCTGGAGGCTGAGTCCTATCTAAATACTATTTCTGAATTCTCTACAGTTTGTTCTAAATCAAAAGTAAATAAATGTGAAAGGCAATATTTGATATTAATAGCTTGTCTGTTGAAGCTTTCTGGACCACTTTGGTACAGCAAGTTTGATTTGTTTATCAGCTAGCTACCGGATTCCTGAAAACAAAAGTAACAAAGAGATCTGCTGAAAATGGGAGGGATGTAGGCTGTTGTATTTTTTTCATGGATCTCGTAGGTCTAGGAGAGTTTAGCTTGCATTGAAGGGTTCTGTGCTTGTGTGTCCCAATCACTGTTCAACTCAGGAAGGTTTGGAATTCCTCTTTTGAGCATTTTGAATGGGATTTCTGGTTTTGTATCTTTTAAGAGGAATTTTTTTGGCCTGAACCAAAACTGCTTTTGGTAACTACCAGGAGCAGAACTGAATGACTTAGAAACCTTAGTTGCTAATATAGCTGTAGTATTTGGTTGCTGGGTAAAAGTAAAACCATGCTTACTGGGTCCATGTGTTTGGTAGAAGTGTAATTTATGCTCTGGTCTTCCAAGCTGAAAGCCTACTTGACTTTCTTATTATATCACTTGGTCTCAAGTGATTTTATTACTGAAATGTCAAATATATTAAAGTGAGTGAACAGTTTTAAACGTTAAGAAAAGTGGAGAAATAGTGTGTTAGTTTTTGAGTGATAAAGTACACTACAGTGTATTAATGTAAATTATAAATGACAACACATTGTAACAAAGTGGAAGGTACGTGGCTTTAAACGATTTAATGAAATGTCAGTACTCGCTTTTCTGCCCTCCCCTTTTTTTTAGAAAGTGATTGCTTGGATGTTTCAGGGCTACCACACCAATCTGAAGGGCAATGTAAACCTGCTTTATAATGTTACCCTGTCTTCCAAATAGTTGTAGATAGAGACAATGTTTTATTGTATAGTCCAAATGTTTCCTGTCAGAAGGATGAGGGAAAGGGCACAAAGAAAATCATAGATACCCATGTATTGTATTGCATTGTTGTCTGCAGTGGCATTACAGTCTTTAGGGTGGGGAAATTAGGTCCAGACAAGCGATTACTGGGTTTGCACAGGTGACATGTAGTTCCTTCTGCAGTATGCTGTACACATGTTCTGCTTTAAATGCAATTTAGCTATGATAGATTTCAAT